TTTTCTAAATTTCAGAGGAACATAACCCATGATTTTGGTCATTTTCGACCAAATCATATACAATTGTTTAACATAGAGTATTTCATGCATACTTTAAAGTTCCTGATATAATCCATGATTGTGCCCTTTTTTCTGTCAAATTACAAGTTGTCGTCCCTTAGATAAAATATTATGCGTACTCCAAAGTTTCTGAATCTCTATGGACAATAATATAGGATTTTCAACATTTTTTACCAAACCACAAGTTTCCTCTTATATGCGCTCCAAAAATTCCCGAAATTCTGTGAACTATAACACATACCTTTGGTCAGTTTCAACCAAATTACTACTGGTCGTCCTATATATTATGTTTTCTGGCGTATACAAAATTCTTGAATTTTTATGGATAATGATCCATTATTTTGGTCATTTTCAACCAAATTTCAAGTTGTCATCCAAAATAGAATATTTTATGCATACTCTTAAATTCTTGAATTTTTGTAGACTATAACTCACGATCTTGGATGTTTTAGACCACACACAAATTTTCGTCACGCATAGATTATAACCCATGATGTTTTATTATTTTCAACCAAATCATGCATTGTTTATCAACATTAATATATTATGTTTTATTCTAAAATTCCTTAATTTTTGTACTTTAATACATGATATTGGTTGTTTTCGACTAAGTCGCAAATTTTCCACCCGCATATAATATTTTATTAGTACTCCAAAATTCTCGGTTCTTTGTGAACTACAACTAATGATTTTGATCATGTCGACCAAATCACAAGTCGTCATCCCACATAGGAATATCTTATGCATATTCCTAAATTGCTAAATTTTTGTTTACTATATTCAGTGATTTTGGCTATTTTCGATGAAAAAATTACCATCATGTATAGAATATATTATGTGTATTCCAAATTCTGGATCAATGACTGTCATGATTTTGGCTGTTTTTGAATAATGAATTCCTTCTCACATCTAGTATATTCTGTGTATCCAAAATTCTTATTTTTTGTTGCTATAATCATGTATACAATTTTCATCCAATCAATTACATCTCTCATATAATTTCTTGTGTACTTTAAATTCCTAAATTTTGCAGAAATAATATGATTTTTTCGTTTTGGCCAATACAAGTTGTCGTATACTTGCTGTATTTAAATATTCAATTTTCAAGCTCTATGGCTACATCAACTGATTTTGACTATTTTATCAAAGTGTTTTCACATAGAATCATTTTAAACGTACTCCAAAATTCCTAAAATTTAGTGATATTCATGATTATATGTACATTTTGACCAGAAAAGGTTGTCTTTGCTAGAACTATATATAATATTTATTCGTACTCTAAAATTTTTGATTAGTGTGATCTCGTATGAATTATTTATTATCTCCAAAATTCTCGATTTCGTGACAATATTTTTGTGATTAAACCTGGTTTGCATTTTAACATCTAGGTTGTATTCACGTAGAATATTTCTGCTACTTCGGATTGAATTTTTTGCATATACATTTTTTTGTATATCGTTTACCCTCTACTGTATATTTATGAATATCCAAATTCTCATTTCTGGGACATATGGATTCCGCCTCAGGCTTTGGTGTTGTGAGTTTTGTGGGTGTTTTGACTAAGTCTATTCAAATAACATTAGATTGTAAGTACTGCTATTTCGTACAGGGATGTATGATTGTTATCTCTACATGCACTAATTGTCTTTAGACTCTTATATATCGGAATTATCCTGAATGAGTTTTGTAGTTGTGATCACAGGGGGCGTCGTTTGTTGTTTCTCGTTCTTTTGGTGGTTGTACTACTCTACCCTATTCCCCCTAGGTTTATTATTTTGTACGCCGCATGCCTAACCGAATAGTAAACTTTCAATTTATTTGTTGCATTTATGTCGGACATTCAATTGTTAGCGATATATACATATTTATTCTCTTTTATGTTGATTCGCTAGAATTCCCATGGGCTATTGCACTTTCAGATCATAGGTATACCCATTTAACTACTATTGTCTATTAGAGAAAAATGACAATTGATAAAATTGTTCTGATAATTACCTCAGATGTGTTATTTAGGTATAGTCTCCTTCTTTTTGTGTGTCCCTATCATTCTTGATATACTCACCGCCTCGTGGATTCGTGCTCTATTTGTGGCCGCAGGCGGTCTGTGGTTCAGTGATGTTTTAAGGACTCTCTCAGGTTCTTGACATGTGTTGTATCTGCTCTGTAGTATGGGTCGTCAATTTAGTGTGGTCTATGTTTTTCTAAAGTTCTATTCTCCGTATGAGCGTGGATATATGATTTTGGTGTGACTCTATTAAAATTTTCTTACGGTTAGATGTGTATGTATGACGTAGACGTACAACCTCGCGTAAGTTTGTGTGTGGCGTCTTTGGGATTATTCTTAGATCGGATGCAAATTTGTTCGTTTTATACTATCCAGTTTTGTCCGGCTCTGTTGAACATAAGCGTTGGAGCTTTTGTAGGTCGTGGGGATATCGATTGTTGTGTAGAAGGCATGGCTGTTATTGATGTTGGCTTTTCGGCTATGTTTTCATCGTGACTTTTGTTGGCCTAATCTGCATTTAGCAATCTGGTCGTGGTTGTCGGATATCTTCTATATGTGATTTAATATTTACTGCTGGCGGAGTACTACTATATGCTCTCGGTGTCGCGGAAGTTTATGGAATTTTATTTCAGGTTTTTGGAGTCTGTTCTACGTTGGCTGCCGGATTTCCTTGGTCCTGCAACTCCTCGGGGCTTTTCCAGGATCTAGGTATCTCCGAAAACTTTTGTCTGTTTAATTGTACTGTTTAAATTGTAAATTTTTTTGGACTATAACCCATGATTTTAGCCATTTTTGATGAAATCAAGAGTCGTGATTCCGCATAGAATATTTTATTCGTGCCTGAACTGCTTGAATCTCTGTCAACTATAACCAATTATTTTGGCCAAAATCTCCAAGTAAGTGAGTATTTTTCATTTAGGCAGTCTTTTAATATCAAAATATAATTGCTACTAACTGGATTTGATGGTTTGTGCATTTTTTTCAAGCCATTGCAATGCTCTTGATGTATAATAATGAAAAATGAAAGATAGTTTAATGCATTACATAGTTTACCAATTTATAAGTTGTACTACAGAGAGAAAATCTTTAGGTCATATCCACTCTAAACAAAAAATTGCAGAAACTAACATTTTTTATTTCTGATCTCATTGACATGCAGAGCTTCATAGACTATGACTGCATGTATGATGTATGGAAATTAGTTACCTCGAAGTACTCAATAACTTTGCTTGAGTGCCAACCTAAGGGGCCAGAATAGATCAATTCACCTCCCCTTTTCATTAAGATCAACTGCACAAAGAGAAAAATATGTTTAATTTTATCCATAAAAACATGAACCAAATGGTGAGAGGTGTATGAGTAATCTAAAGCGATTATCATATGGTTTGTGGTCATATTTCGAATATGGGCCTCTTGCATATTGTTGCCATATATGATTTTCATTGGAACTCTGATACATATATTGCAGAACTAGAGAGTTACTATAGATCCTGAATCTTGTAATAGATGGATTTGATACGAGCTCTACAGCAATTGTTAGACGTTTCCGTTGCTCAGTAGATAAACCATTCACCCCAGGCATCCCAACTAAAGAATCTCTGATTTCGTCAAGCTCAATAGTTTCGAGGACTTCGTTTACAAATTCCTGGTGATTTAAGATGAATGTGTTAGCTCAAAATTGCATTTCAGAAGCAACAATTTACCTTAACACGGACAACTAGTATCTTAAGTAGGATATGCCTGTGCTTGCACAAAGAGTTAAATGCTACTCCTGGTGATTAAGATGAATGTGTTACCTCAAAATTGCATCTCAGAAACAACAATTTACCTTAATACGAACAGCTAGTATCTTAACTAGGTATGTCTGTGCTTGCACAAAGAGTTAAATGCTACTTTATGCCAAAATAAATTACTCACAGATCTACTAGTTTGATCAATTTGACTTGGAAGCCGTAGCCAGGCTGAATATACTACTGATTCTTCAACGGTAACCTGCGGAGAATGTATATCATTCTGCTCACAGTATCCTGATATCCTAGCAAAGGTTTCTTGTACCTTAGGATATCCACCAATTCTTATTTCCCCCTCAATTGTACCACCAGTTTTTCTTCCAGAAAGAACATCCATAAGTGTAGTCTTTCCTGCTCCACTGACACCCATCAGTGCTGTAAGAACTCCAGGCTGGAATGCACCTGTAATATTGTGTAGTAGCTGCAGTTTTTTCCCTGCATACCCTTGTTTTTTCATTTCCTAGTATATCGAAAGAGAATGAATATTAGAATGTCAATTTCCATCAATACGGACCCCTTAATTGTAATATTACAGTGATATTGTGACAACTAACAAGATTACCAGAGGTGTATCTACATAGTATTGCACATCCTGAAATGTTACTATGAGGGGCATAAAAGGCAAAACCGTTCTCCCTGCAGCATGTTGACATAAAGTTCAGTTTGCTTCTGAGCTACACTTTTTATTATAATCATTTTCCTCTTCATGAAAAAAATAGCTCAGAACAATCTTACTAGTTCTTTTACTTTCTTTAGGACTTCCGTTAGACAAATATGTGCAAGTGTTTGTCATGTCTATTGTGTTATTATGATCTCCTCCCTGTATTTGAGAAAGCTTTTCACTGGAAATTATGGCACGAGACCGCCCAGGTGCTGAAAGTTGAGAAGTTTTCATCAATTGCACGCAGAAAAAAAAGTTCAAGAGTATATTGAATTCCTTTCAAAATGACCCAGTTGGCAGGTGTTTCTTACGTTTTTTGAAAGTCATGGCTAAAGTAAAGGCAATATTGAAGAGTAAAATATATCCAATTAATGCACCCAATGATATCCAGTAAAAGTTTCCACTGAAGTTCAGTCCACGACTTGTCAAAACTTGCTGTCCTACAGTCCTATTTGCTGATGGAATCTGTAAAGTATAAACTATTAGAAAACAATTGTGAACAGCTGGAGAGAATCAATAATAAACTTGTACAGTTGCATTTGCTTATGAAATTTGTCAGATAACGAATTCCGGAGAAGAATTGGAGTTGGAGAGAGATCAATGAATATTGAAAACTATTGCAAGTGAACTTTATGAGCTTTAGCCATGGTACCTTCCATCGTGGTCCAAGGAATTCATTTACTGCAAAACCTATCTCTGCATACGTTAATGGTGAACTCCAAAATCCCCATTTTAGCCAACCAGGTATGTAGGCTGCAGAAGAAAATCTACAATATCATATTCACTTTAGCTGGTAACTCAAGGCCACGAAAGGAATAGACTTACATTGTGGGATAATGAAGCCACCAAATGCCAGGACAATTAACAATGTCAAGTTAGCACTGACTATAGAAGTCACCATTGTTTGGAAGTAAGAAGCAAGGAAACGAAACATGGATATTGACATTTGATGCACAACGAATAGTAGAACAAATTGGCGTAAGAACCTATGCCAATAGAAGGATGTGAACTCCTTCAGCTTTGGTTATATTTCTGCACTATCTATCTAAACTGCCTGAAGATTAGAAACATTAAGTTGAAAACTACCTTATTCCCTCCGGACTGTACCCGATTGTATAATAAGTAATAGATATCCACAATAAGGATTCTAGCAAGGAAATAGGGATTTTTAAGAGAATAGCTGGAATTGCATAAGCCCATGCAGGATAGAAGTAAAAATCTCTTTGCTTATAGAAAACTGGAAGTCTTGACACAGACAAAGCCAACTCTGGAAATCCATTGAACATGATGCTAAGAAGTGTGTAAAAGAGTGCACCCAGATAGTTATTGGCATGAAGAACATCCACTCCAAGGGTTGTACGCAAGAAAACAGTCATCGTGATGATTGCACTAATTGTAAGCTGCAAAATGGTTATATATAACTAGGTTAGATTTATGTTAATTAGGGAGAATACGTGATGTGAAGAAAGATACTCTTAGATTTATATTCACTGGGGAGATAAGTGATGTGAAGAAGACATTGTTAACTCTTAAGAAGACCAGATACCTGGGTTGTTTTGAATATGTATGTAAATGAATGCCTTTTCATTAGGAGAAATTCCCTTGCTAGGCAAGCCTTAAATAGTTCCGATTTAGGCAAGGAATAGATACTGAAGGATAAAGCATTTTTATGATTTTGGGACTTGTCATATGGCTTTAATAGCTCCTCATCAAGTCTCTGTCCAATGTGATATGCTTTGAACTTGTTGCAGAACTGATCCACAGAAACATAACGATATTGGTTATGCAAATGAGACCAGTACTGTTCTTGATCTTTTCTGGATAAAACCTGAGTGTAATTCAAATATATTTTAGTCCGAGTGTTCAAAGTAAGTTAAGAACATTGGATAAGTTAGTAGATCTAGCAAAATGGTTACCTCCTGAAGGAATTCGGCTTCTCCTTTTCTTTCTGGACATTTGAATCCACATTCCTCAAAAAAATTAAGAGTATCACTGCGAGGACCATGGTATATAATCTTGCCTTCCGCCATCAAGATGACATCATCAAAGAGATCATAGGTCTCAGGTGCTGGCTGGAGAAGTGAAACGACCACAGTGGCTTCTGTAATGTGAGCTAACTGCTGAAGACAAGCAACAATTTGGAATGTTGTGGAGCTATCTAGTCCATTTGATATTTCATCCATAAATAGAGCTTTGGTTGGTCCCACAATCATCTCACCTAGAAGGCTCAATTGGAAGGTAAGAATAACAAGCATAAGTAGTTACAATGATTTGGGTCCACGTTACATGAATACTTGCATGTATACTATACATATACATGTACTGCATATGGGTGAAGCTTTAGTATTCAAGAACGTCAATAGTTTTCTTGCATCGGCCTGGTAAAGTGCATGATGTACCAAGTTGGACATAGCCTAGTCACAATATGGAGACCAAAAAGGTAAGACCCAAGAAATGCTCAGTTACGAAAGAGAAAAACGAAGACCTCAGCTGAGTAGAAGATAATTATAAGCGGGTAGGGACATGGACAAAGGAATACCTCCAAAGTTAGCAAAGAATTTGAACAGAAGGATACATGCATGGACAGAGTTTTGAAAAGTAGCAAGTATGTCTCATATGGATTGCTTAGTTAGATGTAAGTTTGAAAATGTTAATAGAATTATTTCAATTCATGCCAACTTCTGTTTCTTATCAGTAAGCGCTTGTGTTGTCCTGCAATACGCACAGCATTTTGTTTCCTTAGCGTTCATAGTACCTGTAGTCAATCTTTTCTTCTGGCCACCTGAGATACCTCTTCTCATGGCATCCCCTACCATTGTATCCGCACAGATGTCCAATCCCATTATCTGCAAAGCGAACACATTTCAGATCTGTTAGAAAGTTAAAGGTTGAGGTGAACTACTATGTTTTGCTCTTTATGTAGAACCCTGAGTTTCAATTTTCTTCTACCTTTAGTACATAATCTGTTCGGAGACTTCTTTCTAATCCCTCCATAGAAATTGCCTATATTAACCAATCCTTTTGTGAGTCCTTGTAATAAGATAGATACAACAGATATTTCATGCAATCTAATGTTATCTGAACAATGATAATAGTGTTAAAGCAAAAGTACATGCTCAGATATAGCACCCAATCTCGTTGTGAATAATTCTATTAACTTTTGAAGTGCTTTAAGTATATACTATAGATTTGAAAAATTGGCATGTCTATATATTAGTATGAAGCGGCATCAGTGTCTTGGTATTTCCTGGTGAGAAACTGTAATGATTTGGAGTTATGGTTTACCTTCATGTATAGATCTATGTCTGGTTCAGGGATTATTCCTTCTTGTTTCTCCCTTCTACTGACTTCCTTCATAATTTCTTTAAAAACCGAGAAGTTTGATGTCAAGATAACTTTTTCGATAGTCTAAAATAGTTTTCCATGGATATTATGACCTTACCTGCCCGACATCCAACACCTTGGAACCGTGCTGAGAAATCTAATGTCTCTCTTACCGTCATCTCAGGGATGTGCAAGTCATGTTGGCTTACATAACTTGATGTTTTCTCTGGAACAAACTCCTCAAATTTGAAGCCATTGTAACAAATTTCTCCTGTAGCCTATGGAAAGAAGTTTTTATTTGTCAAAGGTTACATATTTATACCATATGCTAATATGCATGAATTACCAAAGTGGTATGAAGATGAAAAGACTATAGAACACAAACATGGGTGATATGCTATGCTAACTAGGTAAGAAAATGCGAGACCAACATATTTTCCTGGAGAACCTGTCTTATTTGAACAGCCTCATAGATATATTCAGAAACATAGACAATCAAGTGCTGACTCTGTGAGAAATTAAAATTTGATGGGCAAAGTATGAGGTACAATGATAATCTATTGACATACCCATCACTCTTTACATATCAATCTATTTCAGCAAAGAAAACTTTAAAGTGTGTTTCCTTTTTATTTAGAAACTTTTGATTTTTTTATTTAATGAGCTAGAATTGATCATAGGTAGGAATGACAAAATTCATAGAGGGTGAGACTTAAAGAAATAAATGTATGGATAGAAGACCACTTCTATTGCTTCATAAGTACAAATATATGGTGATTGGTAAGTGTGAACCTTATTGAGTTTGTGGCTTTCAGGATTGCTCAAGTTAATCGGAGTTACAATCTTTGAGGAGCACTAGTCATGGCAAAGAGAAAGAAAACATATTTCTCCATCTCTATAAGTTATATGACTTTAAGATAAAAGAAAGGGAAGAAACCTTTAGAGACTTGTCTAATTTCCCTGCCAATGCCAGCAAAAATGTAGTTTTTCCACATCCTGGAGGTCCCAGTAGGAGAGTCATCCTGTAATACAGAGTCCAAGAAAACTTCATATTTGAAGACAAAACAAAAAACATGACTAATATCTTGCTTTTCAAGTATAGATAACTTAGAATATTGGTACAGGCCATCCGTAGAGTTGCTCATAGAAAGGCTTACGTTTCTTAGAAAATGAGCCTATGTTGTAATTTTTGAGTTTAAAAAGAAGAATCCTTAAAAACTTTCCTGGATGGCTTGATAATCCCACTTATATCTTTTAGGATGCTTATCTTCGTTCTTTCAGCTTTCAGTCCTGTTACCTTCGTGAGACCCTGTCCAATAAAAGAAGTTTTACCGTAGAAAAGTAATTTTCTCTAGTTTCACTACCAAAAGGAAAAACTATAAGAAAGGAATTCCCAGTGCCACAATTTTCAAACAATATATTGCTTGGGAGCACATCGTACCAGTAAAATGCCTTTGACAGAATTCCATAAAGTGGGTAGAGGCTTCCCTTGGACTACTTCACATTCTGCTTCCACACACAAATTCTTATATCGTACTTCTATCGTTGGCAATTTGACATTTACCCTGTAGAATACTCTCTTTTTTGAGACACACCAGATCCATTACTGAGGAAAAGATATTTATTACTGCACAATTTAGAATCATCTGGTATACAATTTCTTGGTTGTATGTATGCGCATACTTATTTTTGCATGTACGATATTTCTGCAGGTTTATATTTTGGATAGTGCATGTAATAGATTATAATATAGCGTACTATGTCGCTGTAGTTGACATTACAAGGAACTACAACTGACCTGTCTATCCTTCCTCTTAGTTTTTGTAACAGGCGGAGGTTGTCATTCTCAATGTGCTTGATGAGCTTCTCAACAAACAACCGCCTCTCTAGAGCTCCGAGCTTGGCAACATCAACTACCTTCTTCTCCTTTTGTTCTTCATCACCACTTACAGTTTGATCAAGAACCGATGTTCTCATCCTCCTTACTGTGGATAGCCTCTCAATTGCTGCCCACTTCAGCTCATACTCATCATCTCTGTCTCTTTCAGAGCCAAAGCTGGAATGTCTTTGAGAAATTGAACTAAAGAGACGGAATGATGATCCCATGATCCTCCCTCTTTCGAGCTCAAAGCTTAGGGAATTAGTTTGGTTGTCCACGGATCGTGCCATTCTCAATATAGAAGATGCTTTCCGTCTAGAAGAGAAGGTATATAAAGCAAACTAAGGAGCCTCTTGTACTAGACTAAGGTTCGCATCACTGCATATGAAAGATTGGTCTTCTATCAAAACTCTAATTTCAGCAGCATTAGCAAAATTAGGGAGAGGACTAGAAGTTAGGGAGAGATCCTATATATTCGAAGTTGATGGGACCACCTCTATCTTGTCAATCCAATTTTAGTTATGAAATTAGATTTACTAATTTAGCATTTGGAATTAGCCTCCATTCTATTTCTCGGAAGGAAAAACAAGGAACCTGCGAAGCTGACTTTTTAACTTGAATGAATTACATTTGTTTTTTGCGTCAGATGGTATCTCATACCTGACCCCTCAGGCAACTTAAATGTCTGTGGATTACTGGATGTTATGCAAATTTTGAGCAATCTGAATATTAGCCTCTCTTCATTGACTTTCGAAGATGCTTCAAAATTTTCAGGTGGTTGAGCTTCTACGCACCAGAATCGATCCATTGAAAAGCGAAGTTTCCCATTTGTCGCTTAATTGGGAACTCGATCAAACTCTAGCATTTTGTCCAAAGCCAATTCTGGTATTCCTACAGTGATGGGGTTGTTTCTTTCACTGAAACTATGAGATGTTTGCATCTCTGAAGGTTAGTAGGCAAGGATAGAAGTCTGCTAAATTTGCTATGTTATTTTGTCTTTTGGAATTCCTTACGCAACTTGCTTGCTTATACTCTTACATAGAAGTACCTCCTGGTTAAATATTGGATTGTTTGTTTTGTTGTTACTCCTTGTTGAGTTTGCTTACTCTGGAAAGAGTTTCAGTGTTACCAGGAAGCTACCCAGTTTCCTCTTTTTTACTTTTGTTTTTCTTCATCCTTTCCTCATTTTGATATTTCTATTGTTATTGATTGATCGCTCGGTACACAGTGAAGTATGATTTTAGGCTTTTTGGATCAAATCCCAATTTTCATCTCACATGGAATATTCTATGCATACTCTGAATTACCAACGGTTGCAGTCGTTTTCGATCAAATCAAAAATTGTCATCGCGTTTGGAGTATATTGTCCTCCAAAATTTCCGAACTTCCCTAATTTTTATGGACTATAACCCATAATTTTGGTCATTTTCAACTAAATCACATTCTCGTCATTAAATATCTCATGTTTATGGCCAAATTTGCTAGTTTATGTGGACTCTACCTCATAATTTGACTATTTTCAACTAAATTACAAGTTGTCATCTTGCATAGAATATTTTATGCATAATCTTAAATTCTCTAATTTCTTTGAACCTATAAACCCACAATTTTTTTTTGTTGTTGACCAAATCACTAATTGTATAGCATATAATATCTTATGTATACTAAAAAAA